TATTTTTAGTATCATGGTAATATTTGACAATTGAAGAAACTGAGGCCAGAAGAAAGCTAAATCTGGTCACATAGGTAATTAGTCTGAAAACTTGTATCCTGATTTTTTTTTGTATCACTATATTCACTCATTCTCCTCTTTAAGTAAAGGAAGATATGGCCACAGGAAAATGAGTGACTAAATGTCTCCTTTGCTCTGTTTCTCATTTCACCTTCTAACCCAATTCAAAGTTCAAACCTGGTGTAAGCCTTGGGGCTTCATGTAAGGTGGCTGCCCCTGACCTCTTGCTAAGAAAATTGTGGAGGGGAGATTGAATAATACAGCTCCATTTTGGATTTGCTTTTCAGAGAGTGCATCCAGAAAGTCTCAGAAGAAGATGGTATTCTGAATATACTTTCCTGACACTGTAAGAGGACAAAAAAAGAGGAATTTATTTAAGAAGGAACTGACAGTAACCAAAGGTGGGGGGGAAGGGGGATAACAGGAGAAAGAAGGGGAAGGATTTTCAAGGAGCATGGACCCATGGACGAAGGACCCATGGGCAAAGTCAAAGGGGACGTAGGGTTGAGTGTGGGAGGTGGGGGTGGGTAGGGCAGAGGAGATTGGTGGGGGAATAACAGGGACAACTGTAGTTGAACAACAATAAAATATATAATAAATAAAAATTAAAAACTGTATATTTATTCTTAGATGTTTAAACTTCAGTCGCCTTCAAAGTACTCTCCATATGATATAATTCACCTATCGCAATATTTTTCCACTGCTCAAAACAGTTTTTGAACTAGTCAATTTTTATGCTTTTTAGGGCTTCTGCCATTTTGTGTTTGTTTGTTTGTTTCACCTCTTCTACACTGGCAAAACAGTTTCCTTCAGGATGTTTTTCATCCAAGGAAACAAACAGCAAAAAAAAGTGCCCATGGGGAAAGCAGGTGAACAGGAGGGTGGGACACAGTGGTCATGATGTTTCTTATAAAAAACTGCTGAACACTCAGTGTGGCATTAGCACATACTCTCATAAATCACCCATCATGACATGGGCAAACACATTGAGAGAGTCTTCAAAAATGTCTCTGAAGCCAAATGCAGCCTCTCACAACACCAGCTGGTACACTGATACAGATGGGTTCCTAGAACACTCACCTGGTGGGTGAAGCCTGTACTACAAGGGGCCGCCTCCAGAAGATAATTCCATTTTAAGGTGTTCCCCCCTCATATCATCTCCCAAGCTGACACTAACTTCTTGTGGGCTGAGGCAGGGGCTGGGGCAGGCAGACAAGGCTCATAGGCACACATGGGAGAGCTCAAGTTCTGATGGGTGTTAAGAGAAGAGAATTTGTTCTTTTTGGGGCTTAAGTGGAGCCAGTGGACAAGCAGCCAAGCAGCCAATAAGCCTCCACTAAAATGAGAAATCAAATCTAGCTAGAGAGAAAAATGCTGACGAATATATCTGCCCTTGCAAGAAGAGTGATAATTTCCTAATTTGTTATTTTAGCTAGATCTGCAGGGTATTGTTGACTGGAAAACTTCAGAGCAGCCACCCAGACTGGCAGTGGTGTCTAACATCTGTCACGGAGGAGACCTTAAGGTGTCACAAAAGAAAGCCAATGACCAATATTGTTCAAGTTTATGCATTGTTACCAGCCGACAAAAGCAGATTCTATGGGGCCTTTGACCATCTCTGGTTTAAATTTTCCAAATTTTTTACCCAAGTACTGAAAATGAATAGAGAAATAAGCAAAAGAAAGTAATTATAGATCTAAAGAGGAGCAAAGATCTTGGAAAGGAAGGACAAGGAAAATATTAAGGCCACTTCAAGTGCAGTAGAAATGCTACACCAGTCAAATGACAAATTAAGAACATCAAAATACCAGGAATATTTAACAATATTTAATTAAAACATTAATTTTTTTTCTAGATTTAAAAAATTCTGAATTTTAATATTTTTAGACTATAAAAATATAGTCCTTTTTAAAATTTATTTTCTCTAGTATTGTTTTTATTTATTTATTTTTAGAGAGAGGAAGGGAGGGAGAAAGAGAGGGAGAGAAACATCAGTGTGTGCTTATCTCTTGCACATTCCCCACAGGGGACCTGGCCCACAACCCAGGCATGAGCCCTGACCAGGAATCAAACTGGTGAACTTTTGGTTTGCAGGAGGACACCCAACCAACTCAGCCATACCAGTCAGGGCAAGAGTATAATCAAACTGATGATCACATTAGTAGCTTGGAATATGAATGGAAAAAAAAATTCAGCTAAAGGCAAAACAGTTCAATACTAAGAGAAAAATGTAAAGGACTTGAAGGATAGATGTATAAAACCAAATATGAAAATAAGGGTTTCAGAAGAAAAAAAAATCTATAATTTGATGGAAGACTTGAGGAAAAAAATATATAATTTGAAAGAAGACTTCAATATACCGAACAGGATTACTGATGCTAGTCATAATTAAGGAAGCAAAATAGTCACACACCTAGATTAACCATGGAAAAAATGCTATGTGCAGGACCCAAATTTAAAAAGCATAAAATGTTATTTACTGAGAAAAAATACCAAATCCTACAAAATATTATGCATAGATGTAGTATCTGTCAGTCAGCTCAGGATGCCATAACAAGACACCATAGGCTGGGTGGCTTAAAAAATAGAAGTTAATTGTCTTAGTTCTGCAGTGTAAAGGTCCAAGATGAGGGTGGCAGAATGGGTGGGTCCTCTAAAGCAGGGGTGTCAAACTAATTTTCACCGGGGGCCACATCAGCTTCGTGGTTGCCTTCGAAGAGCCGAATGTAATTTCAACTCCTCAACGATTAAGAAGTAGTTACATTTATACAGCCCTAAAATTATTTCTGCCCTTTGAAGGCAGCCTCAAGGCTGATGCAGCCCCCGGTGAAAATGAGTTTGACACCCCTGTTCTAAAGGCTCTCTTCCTGGCTCATGGACAGCTGTATGCTGTGTTCTCACAGCCTTTCCTTGGCGCTTGGCAATGGAGAGAAGAGTTTTCTCTCTCTTTTCATCTTCTTACTAACTCTATCAAATTTGGACTCCACATTTATGACTTTATTTAACCACCACAGTGCAGAGTAGGGCTTCAACCTATGCATTTGGGGGAACACAATTCAACCCATAGCAGTATCCTCTATCTTTCAAGGTAAAGAGATATTCAAAGATTTAGAGACCACAACATCAACATCCCATCTGAAGAAAACAACTGGGAAAGGATTCCAATCCATAAATATATCAGGAGAGACCATGCAATGGAGTAAGATGAAGAGGAAAGGATGCAGTGATGTGTAGTAAATCTTACACTATATATAAAGTAAATCTACGTAGACAATACTGTGATGAAGGGTTTGCAAATATAAGTCACTAATAAGAATTCATAAAAGAGAAGAAAGAGTTTCAGAGGCAAACCAAATAAAAGAACTGAAGTCACTAAAAGTCCTCAACAAGTTCAGTAAAATTCATGTAATTTTCTAGAAAACAGAAGAGAAAGGAAAATAAAAACATTTTAAAGATTTCATTTGATAGCAGAATAATGGTCTTAAACTTGGTAAGACAATTTTAAATGTTGTTTGAATTACAGCATTTTTTGACATACTTCATAAGACCACTACAAGATATAATTTATTATCAACATAAAAATATATTTACATATCCCATGCCACATAAGTATGACTGGCTGGTGTCCTGCACACTACCCCGCAGCAGGGCACAGGGGACTCTGCTCTCTCGGAAAGGGGCTGGGAGTTAATATCCCATGTGTGATCCAGTTCCTTCAAGTTTGCCAAATCCCAAATTCCTGCCTGAAGAGATTATTTCTGGTTTTATCCAATTGTTGCCCCACCACATACATACACAACCCCAGAACATGCTAATATTTTAATATTTAATAAAATTTGCCCTTCATTTATTGAATGATATAAGAAATTATTACTTCCAGAGTCCATGTTACATAGCTATAATTAAAGTAATTTCATACCCTTCCCTCCAAAAATAAGTCCTCTGTTGGCCGATTTAGTAAAATGAGGTACAAGTGTATCTTGTTACTTTAAATTCAAATTGCCCAATTGACTTCTGGTTGACCCTTGAACAACATGGATTTGAACTGCTGAGGATCACTTATTCAGGATGCAAAAACTTTCTAAGTCAACAATAATAGTGTGCTCATGGGACCAACAATCAGCATCAATGCAGTCACAGAGCAGTCTAAGTAAAGGTCAAGTCTCAGCAGAAACATTGACAGTTGTTGAGTCAAGAAAGTATGCTCTGAATTTGTCTGCCATCTAACATGATAAGAGTTCTCAGAGGCTTGATGGTCTATAAAATTTTAATTATATTTAATGATTACATAATACACTGTTAATGAAGTCAAATCTGAAATCATCATAAATTGAAAACATGCTTAGAAAAGTAATTCCCAGTACTTGTTACCTACCAAATGTGTTTTCAAATTATAAAAGTATGATTTATTATGTTGTCACATTTTTAAAAACACTGTGAACAATGAACTATATACATTTCATACTTTTGTATAATATTTACTCTTTGAGTTTATGTAATGTAATACTTATGAAGTCTCATTAGGTTAATATATTTTTGATAGTTTTATGAAAATAAAATTAAAATCTGTTTTTGTTTACAGTATGATTTAGTAGTTTGCTTTATACTTTATGTTTGTATCTCAAGGCACAGCAGATTTAAATCATGCACTTTACAAAATGAAATGTGGCCTTATTCTTCACAATTTTTTCATAGATGCAACTGAAAGGTCTAACCCTGGTTCAGTTGTTTCTAAATTATATAAATATCAATGCATAATATAAAACATGCTCTCTATTTTTCAGATTCTCATCCTTATTGTCATAGGATTTTAAAATTGATAATCAGATTGAATTGCTAATGATTTATAATTAATATTAGTGTTAATAAATAAGCTATTGTAGGGTTTAAAACAAATAACAAGGAAAACACACTTGCCAGCCAATATTATTATTACTTACCAGCTCTTCCTGAAGTTGGGAAATGAGTTCATCCCTCTCTTTCAGCTGCAGCTTCAACAGTGAGCATTCATCTTTCATTATATCCTATAAAAACATTAAAGAAACAGCATAATAGGCTTAGCCACTTCACTTTGGTCTTGATAAGGAAAGTCAGCTTCACACAGTGGAAAATAATTACATCTGACAAATAGAAGTGAAATTTCCTCTACAATATATTTTTATAGATTCCCAGTTGCAAAATAAATTAATGCATCCAAAAATATTATGTTATATATGATATACACACATGTGCTTTTATCCCTCCTTTGGATATCCATTTGTCATTTTGTTGCCAAAGACAGAAACACAGGAAGTCATCCTAATTTTTTTCCTCCCATTTCTGTGCATACATATTAATGGAATAAAAAATACCTATACTCTAAATGTGATACTTGGCCATTTGTTCCCCCACTGTAATTAAATATTAGTTCCCCAGCCAATTGCTATGTTAAAGTTTTTATCTTTAATGATGCCACTATAACATTTATCCCTTTTACTAGAGATCTGTGGGCATTTAATCTTCTCACTCTGCAAGTGCACCCAGCCACAGTTTCTGTGTACACTAAACATTCTCCTCTATGGTTTACCTTACTCTATGCTGGTAACTCTTTGATGCAAATAATTTAGGCCTATCCATCTTCTAAGTTTCCACCACTGAATAAAACTACTTACCAAGCATATACTCAACAGTGTCCTATAGACATTTCAAATCAACATTCATCTCAACAACCTTTTTCCCTACCCCAAAGCTTTGTGTCTACTTATATCTCCCAATATCTTTCTATTTTCTACACTCTCAGCTCTTACTCACTAGGAACTAAATCTGGTACCAATTTTTAAAAAATTTCTCTTGAATTTATTGGGGTAATATTGGGTAATAAAATTATATGTTTAAGGTGTGTAATTCTTTAATACATTACCTGTATACTGTATCGAGTGTTCACCACCCCAAGTTAAGTCTCCTTCCATCACCATTTATCCCCCCTTTACCTTCTTTTACCTCTCCCACCCCCCTTTCTCTCTGGTAAACACCATACTGTTGTTTGTATCTATGTGTTTTTTTTCTTTGCTTAATCCCCTCACCTTTTTCACCCAGCCCCTCAACTGACTCCCCTCTACCAGGAACCAAAGCCTTTCATCTCTATTTCCTTCATGTTTCTTGGACTCATTCCTCTCTATTATTCATTGACTTTCTCTAGGCACCCATTGCCTCTTACCTGACTTAGTATACTGAGTCTCTAGACTGGTTCTTTATCACTTTCCCTATCTGTCAGAAATATTTTCCTACATGAAATTAATTGCAATCAATCAATTAATTATTTCTTAATTTAACAGCTAATCACTTCCTATTTTAGAGAAAATAAAAGTCAAAACTCTTCAGCATAGCATATAGTACCTTTCTTTATCTGCTCTTGCTTACTTCTAGAGTGTCAACGTTTCATTTCATTTCCAATGTTCTTACCACCTTTGCTCACCTACAGAGCTGAAATGCAAAATGTTGTTTTATATCTCCTTGCTCTACCCACGTACATCTCTGGATCACACTGCTGATGACCCACTGCAACCCGTTATCCCCCTCACATTTCTCATGCTCTAAGAAGCATTTCAAGCATTATTCCTATTCCTCTAGAACTTTCCATTTTTGGTTGAGTTATGTATTCCTAGAGGGCGAGAGTGTGCTCCATACCATCTAAATCATATGTCATCCCATAGAATACTAATACTTCAAGTGTTATTTGTTTGTTCTGCACCCTCATTGGACTAGTTCTTCCCTCTCGAGTGGCTGGACTACAGGTCTATCTCGATTTATTTAGCTTTGCAGATATTGTGTTTTTAAAAATAAATTGAATACAAGGCTTTCTGCTAGCAAAAACATTAAGACTATCCATATTTTGATACTCAGTTTATTGCAGTGGCCTGGAACCAAATCTGCAATATCTCTGAGGTATGCCTTTATTTCATTAGCACCAAACATTGTAACTGACACGTAAGACACTCAAATCCACATTTTCTTCCTATAAAATCATCAAACAAACTATAAACAGGAGAATTCTTACCTCTTCTCAATCTGTTAACTTTATCTGAGCTTATAAGGAAGGAAATAGTTAATGGATTAGAGAAAATAGAATACTTGTTTATTCTGGTTCTCATGGTGTTAGTTTCTACTTTACATTAAACCCAGGGTCCCCCACCTCCAGGCTGAGGACCAGCACTGGTCTGGGCCTGTTAGGAACCAGGCTGCACAGCAGGAGGTAAACTTGAATGTAATGCTCTTAAATCATCCTGAAACCATCCCCCTAGCTCAGTGCGTGGAAACATTGTCTTCCACAAAACCGGTCCCTGGTGCTAAAAAGGTTGGGGACTGCTGCACTAAACAATATACAACATCTGATTCAAATTTCTAATATCTCTTTTCATTTGCTGACAACCAGCTTGACTGAGAGACACTGCTCCTTTTCTATCTCGGCTCCTTTTCTTTTGTAGCAGTGCTATTTCTTTCCTAAATCATGAATTTTTATGGATAGAGTTTATACTCATCTTTTTACAATATTTCTTTTCATAGATTCTAAATATTACATGTTATACTGTTAATGGCAAAACGCTTAGCCCGCTCCACAATGCAAAGAAAAAATAGCAGGCTTAAAAGGTAGGTGAGAAGGTGGTCATGTTTCATAGAATCAGAGCTCTGGGATCAAATCCTAGGTACTTCAGTTAAGTAGCCCTGTGGCTCTGTGCTAGTTATGGAGCTTCTTTGGGCCCCATAGAACACATTTCTGTGGAGATTAATGATAACATCAAACTATCAACTGCCTCATATTCCCCAAATTTTACATAATATCTTATTGGAGAAAAAATAACTCCCCTTCATAAAATAAAATGTCACAGGTTGGCTTCTCTAGGACACAAATACTGAGGTGGAACTAAGGGTACAAAAGGTTTATGAGAAAGTAAATCCATGTGAAAAGAAAAGGAGAAGAATCATAATTGGGTAGAAGTACAGATGGACCCAGGATCCTACCTCACAAATCCTCCGCCAGCGGGAGGAGAAGTTCCAGAGCCCAGAAAGCCCGTGAGAAGAATCCCTCCTTGAGGGCAAGTAGGTCAGCTCAGATACCACTCCCTGCTGTGCAGTCATTGGTTGGGCGCTGCCCCAAGAGAACTAGATCTCAGCTGTTGTTACTTCATTCAATGTCTCAGATCACCCAGAGATGAGCTGACTTCAGCTGATAAAGTCGCTAACAGATACAGATATAGGCAGTCAGCTAACAACAGGGTTTGCAGTTGGGTGGTGAGTCCTTTATTGAAAAGTAATCTGAGCCTCAGGAAGGATCTACTGAAATTGGTTTTGGCTGATTAATTATCAACAATATTTTTGTATATTAATTTATATGTTGTCTATTACTCAGTTTGAAATATTTATCTACATTTTGGCTAATAGAAATTGTAAAACAGTTTGGTTTTCAAAAAATATATTCGCTTTAAACAAATTCTCTAATTCATTCCTGGGGAACTTTTCCAAAAATATCAGAATTTCACAGCTTTAAATCAGGTAGGTGCTAACAAATACTTGAATTTAATTATAGAATAACATTAAATTTTATCATATGTCATCAGAAGCCACTTTTAAAAGCCTTATCTATGAATGACTTTGCAAATGAAACAGTTACCTAGAGTTTTGTGTTTAGTCATTATATTGTGGCAATATTCACAGAGGTACCTGTTTCACACAAACGTGAAAATCCCTTGAACAATTCTTACTCTGAGACGAAGGCTGACAGCAGTATTCCTTCGATATTCTCACTATATTTGCAAAATTCTGTGACATATTTGGCAGGAGGATATGTTGAGTTAGATATAACATTAATGTGTAGAATTAAGTGGATTTTAATATTATTGGTTTTCAAAATAAAGTTATTCCATTAATATAAAAGCTAATGTAAACAATTTAATATTGTGCTTATTTAAATGCATATTATTTACAAACAGGAAAATATATAATTTAATAATTATAACATTCTCTACGTCATTGAAGTATAATACATTTTTAAGACTCAAATTCAATTCAATTACTTCCCAATTCAGTAATTATTCATGAATATGGAATTCTTAATATGATAGATTAAATTAAAAATAGCTACAAATCCTTTGCTATTATTCCTACTGAAATATGGAACCAAATCCCTCTCTTTGTACCTGGGCTGGTCTGATTGACTTGCCTGACCAACAGAATACAATGGAAGGAAACATTGCATTCTGGGTCTAGAAAAGAAAACACCTTTCAGCCTCCACGAATGGTCTCTGAGAAACCCCCCTCTCAGTTTAATACCTTGCTGAAAGAACCCAGCAACTATGCTTCCACCTTCATCTCCTATGAGCTGCCAAAGGACACTCAGCATCAACTGCAAGCCTGGAGAGTAAGTCAGCGTGCACATCTAGCCCAGTGGGGCCTTCAGGTGCCAAGAGCTCCTGCCAGTATCTCACCATAACTGCTTCAGTAGAATTATTCCCAAATTCCTGACTTATAAAACTATGAACAAAATGAAAGTACAGTTTTGAGCTACTAAGTTTGTCCATATGGACAACTTCAAATCATTAGAATTAGTGTAAATCGACTCATTATAATTATATAAAAATGTATGCAGCTAAGTTTTAAAATAAAATACTTTGTGATTTACTTTATGATCTTGATAATTTAAGTTATTTAGTGTAAATTTCAAATAGCTTATTTCATGCATACAAAAGAATATGTTCGCACTATATAAATTATGAATTTTAAGCAATTAAATACAAGCCTGTTTGGATTACATACTCTTAGGAAATCTTGAAACTTCTTACTGATTTCCATCACTCAAAAGATAATTACAACAATACCTTATTTTGCATAGGGCATTCATAATGCATAAAACACTTCCATGTGCAGAATTTCTTTTTGCTATTAGGATCTTTCTTGATGAATTGTTAACAAAACGGTATAATTCTAGAATAAGCAGGGCTTTAGGCATACAAAGGAAGCAGAGAATACTGTTGTACCAAAAGTCAAATAA